ATAGATAGATAGATAGATAGATAGATAGATAGATAGATAGATAGATATAGACAATAGATGACAGATTGATACATAATGAGCAGACAAAAGAGAGAGAGAGATGGATGTAGATAGATAGATAGATAGATAGATAGATAGATAGATAGATAGATAGATAGATAGATAGATAGATAGATAGATAGATATAGATGATAGATAGATAAAGACAGACAATAGATAGATGACAGATTGATACATAATGAACAGACAAAAGAGAGAGAGATATGGATGTAGATAGATAGATAGATAGATAGATAGATAGATAGATAGATAGATAGATAGATAGATAAAGACAAACAATAGATAGATGACAGATTGATACATAATGAACAGACAAAAGAGAGAGAGAGATGAATGTAGATAGATAGATGATAGATAGATAGGTAGGTAGATATAGATGATAGATAGATAGGTAGGTAGATATAGATGATAGATAGATAAAGACAGACAATAGATAGATGACAGATTGATGCATAATGAACAGACAAGAGAGAGAGGGAGGGAGAGAGAAACTTTGAAACTTCTGTGATTAAGCTTTTAATTTTGAAATATGTCAAAATTCTCTCCATTCTCCAGACAGCCCTTCCATTTTTCTCTAGCAAAGTGGGATCAAAGAGGCCAGGCATTTTATTATTATGGGTAATTTGTGAAATAAACCTCTTCAGCACTCTGCTATTCAATGTTCTTTTTGGGCTAAATTGCACCTGAGCCAAAAAGAAGCCGAGCGAGTGCAATAAAGCAAGGTATACAGTTGGAGGGGGAAATCAATAACAGGGCCTATTACTGTATCACCGTGCGGCGGTAATGATTGCACTTGTGCTGATCTGCTCACCAGCCTGCCACTGATAGCTCACATACCACATGGAGGTAAGATTTGCAGGAGATTTGTGCTTCGTTTCAGCCAGGGGTCGGAATGCGTAGATGCAAAAATAGCTTAATAATAATAATAATAATAACAATAACAACAACAACAACAGCAGCAGCAGCAGCAGCAGCAGCAGCAGCAGCAGCAGCAATTAATAAAGCCTTAAAGGAAGATGAAAACATGAGCAAGCCATGGCTTAAATAAAATATAGTTTGATATGAGGCTTGTAATGCCACTATCTGTCATGTTGCTCTGCAGAATAAGAGCAGTAAGCAGTGGAGAGCCCAAGAATCTCGGGAAAGCGTAATTACTTAATAATTAATAGCTTTTGTTCAAAAATCAATGCAGCATGAGAAATCTGCAAGTAGACCTATACATTATTAAACTGGGATAATCTGAAGGTTCAGCAAAATCAAGAAGAGACCATGGTCCCTGGCACTACAATTGAGAGAGTTTAGGCTTTGGTTTAATGGTGTTTCAGGAGGAAAGGAGAAAGGAATAGAAAGAAGAAAAGGAGAGAGGAGAGGAGGAAAGGAAAGGAAAAGAGAAGAGGGGAAGGAGGGGAGGGAAGGGAAGAAGAAGAAACGCACGGGAAGGAAATAGAGAAGAATGAAAAGAAAGGGAAGAAAAGGGAAGGGAAAGGAAAGGAAAAGATAGGGGAACGAAGAGAAGAAAAGGGAAGGAGAATGGGAGAAGGAAAGAAGAAGAAAAGCACGGGAAGGAAATAGAGAAGAATGAAAAGAAAGGGAAGAAAAGGGAAGGGGAAGGAAAAGAAAAGGGAAGGGGAAGGGAAGGAAGAGGGAGGGAGGGAAGGAGGTAGGTAGGAAGGAATTTGCTGATCCCAATTTCTCTATGCAATATAATTTTAAAAAAAAAACATCGCAACCAAATTCATTGTCTTGAAAACCAAACCTGAACTGGACTATTACATAATTAAACATTCTTATGGGGAGGAATAAGCCCACATAATCATCTACTCTTACACAACAAGATTCTCTCTGTGACCATCTGCCTCTCATACAGTGGAACCCAAACGTATCATGATCACTTTGACAGAGATTTAGTTTCAAATATGAAATACTGTCTTTTAGAGAGCAAGCCAAGGCCAGTGAAACTCCAGATACACAAACTGTAGATAACTTGCATTTATACAAATAAATCGATAGGTCCTGCAAATGTACGTCCTCTTTTAACTTCCATTTGGGAAGCTAACCAAAAGCTCAACAGCAGAAGATACTTTTCCAGACACTGGGTTGTGTGTTCAAGATTCTCAATCCCTAAATTTTAGGTACAGCCCATTTCCAAAACAATTAATACTGCAAGGAGGCATTGGGTTTACAGCTACCATCTCGAGACTGACTTTAAGCCACCAATCCTGTGCCTCAAATCTGGCTTGTGGTTTATTCACCACCTCTTTTATCCCTCTCTTTACCCCAAAGGTGCTTTTTTTCAAGAGGCAACTGGGCTTTCTGGTTTTTCTTTGAGGACGTTTCGCTTCTCATCCATGAAGATTCTTCAGCTCTGAAGTTGAAGAAGCTTCATGGATGAGAAAAAAAAAACATCTTCAAAGAAAAACCAGAAAGTCCAGTTGCCTCTTGAAAAAAAGCACCTTTGGGACAACCATGAGCTGGAGGACTGAGAATCTCCATGGATATTCTATAGATTGTCTAATGAGAAGTTCTGGAGAACATTGGAGCTTCCATAACCATTTACCGGCATGTCATTTTGGTTAATCTTTATTTCCTACCAATGAATACTTTACTTTTCTCCTGGTGGACCAACCACATTGGGGTTCCTCTCCCCCCACCCTAAATGTCCTTTGGTGGGTTTTTTTGCTTTGGAAGAGTGGGGGTTGTGTTTGTTTTGGGAGATTGATGCGCTTTTTGACAGCTTGAATAATGTTCTGTCAGTGAAAACAATCAGAATTTTTGAACAGTTTCAGATCCAGGTACCTGAAAATATGGCTGTTGCTATAGCGACTCCTGGTGTACTTAAATTATCCATGAGAATTGTTCTTTGGATGCTCCAAACATCTCAGTTGAAATGGGTGGTGTGACTGGAAAAGAGAACATTTTTGACAGTTGATAATTCTGTGTACAAAATCACATATTAAGATACTCTTGGTGTTTGGCCCAAAGCCATCCAACTGGTTTTCATGCCTAAGGCAGGACTAGAACTCACACACACTGTCTCCCACTTTCTAGGCTGGTGCCTTCCCCACTAGACCAAACTAATTTAACTTTCAGTTTCAAGTGATTTTAATAAAAATTAAAGACAAGAGTATTAAATGACTGGCAGAGATTAATCTAATTGTATACGGTTTGACAAAAGACTGAGGATTAAACAGAAGATATTAAAAGATTTAGAGGAACGAAGCAGTTTGGCAGAACCAAATTTCAAATTATCTTTTCAAGCCAGTTGCCTAACCTGAATAACAGGCAGGATCCTGTTCCCTTAATGCTGTGTTCCTTCTGTGAAAGGGAGAAAGATTTCCAGATGATTTACGCAGATATCTTTGGCTTGACAGAAACATAAATAGGCAATTTATAGGAGATCATCTGATGAGCAGTATTTTAAAAGTATAGGGTAGAGGGGGGGAAATTAGCTCATATTTATCACCTCTTGCTTGGCTATTTATTTTTATGAAGATGAGAATGTAAAGAAATTTGATTGGTGAGAGATAAAAAAAATGCAGATTGCAAAAACTTGTCAATAGAGCAAAGATAAAATCATTTGAGACTCTACCCCGAGGGTCAGAATCACTGGCTAGTCCCAATATCTTCAAATTCTAAAAAGAAAGAAAGACAGCAGAACATTTAGGGATTTTAAAATGAAAACTTTATAAAACAAAACTCAGCACCCTTAAAGGGGCCTTATTTATAAGTTGTTGATGAAATATAACTCAGAAACCAAACCAGTTAAATGCTGTATGATTAAATGGCTGCAGAATTGAAACAAAACAATTGATATGCAACAATGGAAATTTCAGTGAAAGAAAAAAATTATATAAAATCTTCAGTGAATATCACATTTAGAGAAAACAGATGTGGTTGAACAATGGCATATCACTCCCATTGCTGATCTCAAGCAAATTCTTGGTTTACTGAGGAGCTGAAGAAATGTTTTCAACTCCCAAGCATTGGCACAATCTGACATTTGAGTCTAGCAATAGCAATAGCACTTAGACTTATTTACTGCTTCACAGTACTTTTCAGCTCTCTCTAAGCAGTTTACAGAGTCCACATGTTCTTCCCAACAATGTGGCTCCTCATTTTACTGACCTCGGAAGGATGGAAGGCTCAGTTAACCTTGACCTGGTCAGGATTGAACTCTTGGCAGTGGAAAGAGTCAACCTGCAATACTTCATTCTAACCACTGCACATCGTGGATGGGATGAACGGGGGGGGGGGGGGAGAGAGAGAGAGAGAGAGAGAGAGAGAATAGCACTTAGATTTATATACCGTTTCACGGTGCTTTCCAGCCCTCTCTAAGCGGTTTACAGAGTCAGCCTCTTGCCCCCAACAATCTGGGTCCACATTTTACCCACCTCTGAAGGATGGAAGGCTGAGTCCACCTTGAGAGGGTCAGGATTGAACTCCAAGCAGTGGGCAAAGTCAGACTGCAATACTGCATTCTAACCACTGCACATCATCTATTTGCTCTGCTCTACTCTACTCTACTCTACTCTACTCTACTCTACTCCACTCCACTCCACTCCACTCCACTCCACTCCACTCCATTCTATATTCTATTCTGTTCTGTTCTATTCAATTCTATTTTAACATTTGCTACAGCAGAACTGGTATCTTAGTAGCCAAACTGCTACTCTGCAATAGCATTGTGGTCTCCTGGCTCATGAAACAACATCATACACAAATAATTATAATAATAAATAATCATAACAGGAGTGTGGGTCAAGAGGCAAGTCTTCTCAGTAGCGTCTCCCAAGCTTTGAAACAGTTTTTCCTGGAGAAACCTCAACTTCCTAATCTCCTGGCATTTTGCAAAACATTCATGCTTGACATGTTTTGGGTTTTGCTTTTGAAAGGGAGAGAGGGAGGGGGAAAGGATCCCTCTCCTTATTATTGCTTTATTATATAAATGCACACCTTGCTTTTCAACTTGAAGAGCAAACATTGTCTGGCAGCAGCACAACCTGCCTTCTCTCAACTTGCAGCTCGACAAGGGATTGCCTTCCCCTCTCCAACTCTTGCCAACTTCGGTCTTTCAGATCCTCTCATCTGTATGCAGGCCCAAACACCTTCAAAGCCCTTTTATTCTTGGCACTTCCAGCCTTTAGAGATGCCGAAGCAGGCCCAGCCTTGCAAAAAATGTCATGAAAGCTGGAATAAACTTATGGCGTTGTCTGGCCAGTCTCTCTCTCTCCCTCTCTCTCTCTCTCTCTCTAACAAGCAGCGTGAAATTATGGGAGAAAACAAAAAAATGAGTAAAGATTAAAATGAAGAGAGGGAGACCACACTGGATCCAGCCAAAGAGAAAACTTCTTGTGTTGAAATCTGGGCGTGTTCCCATTTTTATACTCAGTAGAAGTATTTATACGTTGCTGTTTGGCTTGCTCTTAAAAGGGGATCTATCTTTTAAAAGTGCAACATTTAAAAGGCTGATAACCTTCTGGCTTATGTTTCATTTCTCGGAGCTTTGGGTGTCTTCTATACCCCTTGATTTAGAAAGTTCATGCAGAGTAAGGTCCTCCATTCAAAACAGATCTCTGAAATGTATTTGGATCGCCACATTTTACAGGAGTTGAAGTTTCAACTCTTATGCCATCCTAAGTTGCATTAACACAGGGATACAATCAAAATCAAGAGAGGTACTAACACCAGTTTGCAAACACCTAGAGTTTTGGTCACCACTCTATAAAAAGATGCTGAGACTCTAGAAAGAGTGCAGAGAAGAGCTACCAGAATGATGAGGGGACTGGAGACTCAAACATACATGCATGGCTAGTCTAGTGAAGAGTCTAGTCTAGTGAAGAGAAGGATCAGGGGAGACAGGATAGCAGGGTTCCAATATTTGGGGGGCTATCACAGAGAGGAGGAGGGGGTCAACTTATTTTCCCAGGCACCTGAAGGCCAGACAAGGAATAATGTATGGAAACTGATCAAGGAGAGATTCAACCTGGAAATAAGGAGGAATTTTCTGAGAACAATCAACCAATGGAACAGAAGTTGCCTTCGGAAGTTGTGGCAGCTTCATCACTGGAAGCTTTCAAGAAGAGACTGGTCGGAAATGGTGTAGGGTCTTGGTCTCAGGGAGTTGGACTAATGACCTCCAAGGTCCCCTTCCAACTCTGTTAATCTGTTCTAGCACTTGCCAAGGTTGCCAAATCAGGGGGAATGGATGGGGATCCTAGAGCAAGGATTCCTAACCTTGCACACTTTGGGAAGTGTGGACTTCAACTCCCAGAATTCCTCAGCCAGCAGGAGATGCAAGCTACAGCAATGGATGGATGCTGGCTGGAGAATTGGTTGATGAAACATTTAAAAACTCTAGGCTTCAACTCTCTGATTCAATGGATCACAATTCCCAATCCGGTGGGTCAGGAGGTTTAGTTTGAATCTTGATTCATTTGTTTTGGAATTATTGAAAGTTTACCCAACCCAATTTTGGGGACAAATTTGACCTAGCTCAGCTGCCCAAGCTATACGTCTCCCACTGCTACTGTTGGAAATCTATAAACAGTTAGAATTACATTTTTGACACTCCAACATTTTAGTTTTCAAACATAGTCTTTATCTTCTAGTTTAAGGAAAGAATGGAACTAATTTCAGATCTGGCATATTTATTTTGATTATCTTGTCTTATAAAAGAGAACATATATAATTCAGGGTTGAACTGTGGCATCCTTGGTTCTCTCTGAGCTTGGTTGTTTTCTTGCAAATGTTTCACTACCCAACCAGGTAACATCATCGGGCACTAGGTAATGAAATATCTTGCCTTATTTTACTGATTTCCCCCTGCAGTACTCAACTCAGCTGTTGGTGACAGTTAACATAAACAATGTATAATAAAATAATATATTGTGTCCAAATATAATGCAGTAATTGAAGAAAAGATCAGAAGTGGGTCAATTCAGTAACTAAATTATGGGTTTCTGGTGAATTATAAAATGTAAAATGGAGCTGAAATAAACAGAGAGCAAAGAAAGGAAATGTGATAGCAATTGTGTTGATTTTGATGCAAATGTGATGCTCTGCACAGTTCCTTCTGTTTTTGAGATATTAGGAATATCCAATATAGCGTTTTACAGATTAACAATAAAAAGACAAGCTCCTGTTGCAAGATGCTTACATCCAAAAATTCAGTCTAGAGCAGTAGCATAAAGGAGTTTCCATCTTATTTGAGAAAAAAATGAATGAAGATTTTAAAATTCTTCCAAAAACATCCTAAAAGGGCTTTGAGGAGAGACTTGAAAAGAAAAAGAAGAAATCAGTCCCTTTTTGTACATGGAGGAGAATATTGAATTCTTCCTTGGGCATTTCAAGAAATTCCTCCATATCTGAAGCAACTTTCCTATATGTTTTTTAAATTAATTTAATATCTATATTTTTAACAAAACAATCTTTAATCTTACAAAAAGAAAAGAAACCTTAAGATAGTAAGATTTTTGGTTTAACAAAGACCACAAAGGAAAGCTCATAAGGTGTTATGGGGGAGAGGTATAAAACGTAAATAATAATTCATCACATTTATTTGTTTTGTTCTGTCTTCCTTCAGCATTGCTAGAGATAAAAGTCATATTTTTATCCTAATCCCTCCTCTTCGCATTTTTGCTTTACAGCTATCTAGACTGCTTAGATCGAATTGGAGCTGCCGATTACCAGCCCACAGAGCAAGACATCCTTCGAACCAGGGTCAAAACAACTGGCATTGTAGAAACCCATTTCACATTCAAAAACCTCCATTTCAGGTAAGAAGAATGCAGGTAGCATGAAAGAATCACCCTGACTGGGTAGATAATCAACATGGCTCTAGTCCTTTTCATTTACCAATGGGCAGGCTTTGGGGGTGTTGTGTTTGGTCTGCACTGCCACAAAATGGCTGCCATGGTAAGTGGGGCTTGACACAGGCTGGTTCAGTTGGTCATCACTATCACTCATCTACACTCTTCCTTTCTCTTCCCTCTTCCCTCCTCCCTTCTCTTCCCTTCATTTCACTTCACTTCACTTTCTTTATCTTCCTTTCCTTTCCTTTCCTTCCCTTTCCTTCTTTCCTTTTGTTTCCGTCTTTCTTTTCCTTTCCCTTCCCTCCCCTCTAACTTGCCTTATCTCCCCCCTCTTCCCCCCACATGCTCCAATGGAGTGTCTTATAGAGGAATCCAAAGTTTTGCCCAACCCTAGGAATTACCTACACAACTCCACAGAAAGTCGTTCTCAAACTTGAAGGGTGGAATAAAACCTGCACTGGATGTAGTTAGAGTGCAAAGAGACTAGAGCCGAACAAACAAACAAACAAACATATATTTCTATTTTACAAAGTCTCTGCATTTTTGTGCCTTTTCTGAAAACTGCCAGTACAAATTAAGCTGTGGAGTCTCAAAGCAATGCCCACTCAACAGAATTACTCTGTAATTCAGGAAAGTTCTTTAGGTTTCCTTCAGTTTCTGCAGAATTCTCTGCCACATATGAACGAGTCTATGAGTTTATGAATGAGTCCTTTCAGTTTTGGGAGGAAAGTTTGCAGAAATTGTTTTCCAGCACGTTATTCTGAGATATTATTTTACTTCTCAATCTACAGCTGAGGAAATCATCCAGCTGGCTTTGGGTCAGTTCTCCTATCCAGCAGCTTGAACCATTACACCAAACGATCTCTCTGCTTTATACCTTGTTACAAAAAGCTTTGAAATCTTCCTCTGATTGTGACATTTATTTCTTGAATGTTTTATGGAATATTTCATAAGAAACAAAAGTTCAAAATGTTCACAGCTTATGAAATAAGCCTTGAAATTATTTGGACCTCCTAGACTAAAGATATCAACCTCAAGTCAATCAAGAAATCTTTGATTTGGTCCCCAAAATGGCTTTTCCATTTTTAATCTAACAACAATGACAAAAATTTATCAAACTTATAGGCTGCCTAACTCCCAACAACTCCCAACATAATCATCCAAACAAAGAAATTCCAAGGAAAAGGGCAAGAGCAACAGAAGGCAAAATGAGTTGTACAGAATAAGCATATTAATTATGTGAACTTTACTTTTGCTCCCTTTTGCATCCAGTTTTGGTCACCACACTATAAAAAAGATGTTGAGACTCTAGAAAGAGTGCAGAGAAGAGCAACCAGGATGATGAGAGGACTTGGAGGCTAAAACATACGATGAACAGTTGTAGGAACTGGGTATGGCTAGTCTAGTGAAGAGAAGGACCAGAGGAGACATGATAACATCTTCCAATATTTGAGGGTCTGCCAGAGAGGAAGTGGGTCAAGCTATTTTCCAAAGCACCTGAAGCCAGACAAGGAATAATGGGTGGAAACTGAACAAGGAGAAATTCAACATGGAAATAAGGAGAAATTTTCTGACAGTGAGAACAAAAGTTGCCTTTAGAAGTTGTGGGAGCTTGATCACTGGAGACTTTTAAGAAGAGATTGGCCTGCCATTTGTCAGAAATGGTATAGGGTCTCCTGCTTGGGCAGGGGGTTGGACTAGACGACCTACAAGCCCCATTTGATCATCTGTAATCCCTGTCTTATCCACATCTTTCTCCTTCCTACCTCTTTTTGAGAGCGCTGCCCTTGACCTGCCAACCAGAGCACAAGTGTCACTTGAAGTCACTTATACCCTTTTGTGCTAGGATGAAATGATGAAGAGTTTTCCTTGTTTCTTCTTAAGGCTGTTTGATGTTGGGGGTCAGAGATCGGAGCGTAAGAAGTGGATCCACTGTTTTGAGGATGTCACGGCAATCATTTTCTGTGTCGCGCTGAGTGGGTATGACCAGGTACTTCATGAAGATGAGACAACGGTAAGTTGTTCCCCAGCCAAAATAATCCCTGCCATGGCTCTTCGATTTCCTGTATTTTGTTCGTAGCCACCACGCCATCTTAAGCCCAAAGGATCCAACAATATTCTTTATTTTTCACATGTCTTCCTTTGATGCAATGGAGATCCCTTATTCTCCAACCATAGTTGGGTTTAAGCCACTGCAATTGGTAGGATGGCCATAGCCCAGGTAATCAGTTCATTCACTCCTTACAGTAACTCAAGAATTTATCCAGAACTCTTATCCTCTCTCGTTGGTTGTATCTGACCAGGTATCCCTGATGAATAACAGTTTGTTTGTTTTTTTCAAAGAAAGGGTTTTAAAACAACCTAAAAAGTTTTATTGTTTATTCTTATCCGGCTGAGAGGGAAGGGGAGGAAGGCCTGAGAGATAAGTTGCTGTCCAGGGTGCTGACAGAATGAAAATGAAAGAACAGAACAGGTAGAAAAGAAAATATTTGAAACAAACTAATGTGAACAGATACCAGGTTGTGCCTGTTTGCGAGAGTCGTCAAACTGTATTTTTCTCCCTTGTGCACATATATGAAAAGTCAACACCAGGTTCCTAAATTCTAGTGCGAATTGAAAAGCATAGAAATGGGCATATGTTGAAGAGATTGTCAATGGATAATCATTTATTAACGAACATTTCAAGGGGGCATACCCCCAATGACTCAGAATTATACATACAGAGATACACAGGCAAACCAGTATTAAACACGACACAGCAATACGCAACGTTGTGCATTATAATGGGAGGAAAATGTGGAGACATCTAACCAGAGGTGGGATTCAAAAATCCAAGCAACCGGTTCTCTGTCCAGTCGCTGGGTGGGCGTGGCCATGGTGGGTGTGGCCTGCTGGAACTTCCAGGAGGGCCGTTTTTCACCTTCCTCGGAGTCCAGAGGCTTCCCTCGGACCTCTGGGAGGGTGAAAATAGCCTCCCCCGGAGTCCGGAGGCCCTTTGGAAGTTGGAAACAGGCCCATTTCCGGACGTCTGGAACTGCCAAGAGGGCTGATTTTCACCCTTCCAGAGCTTCAGCGCTGACCCGACACTTACCTGCATCCAAAATGGGCCGTATGGAGACTCCTGGGAGTGGCAGGGTGGGGTGGGAAGGGCCATCCAGTCAGTTCAACTACCGGTTCAGTGAACCAGATGTAAATTTAACATCCGGTTCGTCCAAACTGGCTGAATCCCACCCCTGCATCTAACATCCCAGTTTTCTCTCCCACCGCCACCTTGATAATTAGTTCCAGGAACTCGTTTTGATCTTTCCACCAATTACAGTATGAGGACAGATTCCTGAATACTTTCCATAGATGGTGCTCTTTGTAAGGCATGCAGAGAGGGGAGGAGTGCATTAAGAAACAGGATAGTCAGGCAAATATTTAGTAAGATTTCACCCAAAGTTAACTTTCTATGAAGAGTTGGGCTTCAAAACTATTCTTATCCACACCCTGAAAGAAGCAAAGGGAGTCTATAAAGGTAGTCCTCGATTTACAACAGGTTGGTTAGTGACCATTCAAAGTTACAGCAGCACTGAAAAATGTGACTTATGACCGGTTTTCACATTTATGACCATTGTGGCATCCCCATAATCATGTGACCAAAATCCAGAGGCTTGGCAACTGGCTCATATTTATGATGGTCACTGCGTCCTGGGTCATGTGATCCCTGTCAGGATTCTGGCAGTTACTCCAATTAAATCATAAGCCTCAAGCCACACTCCCAAAACCTAAAAAGGATTTATTAGAAGTTAACATTCTATATCCGGCATTTACCTGGGCACAGCCAACTCTGAGATATGTAATTCACTGTCACCCTTGATCCTGCTTCCCCCCCCCCCAGCCCTCTGGGTGTATAATCCAACGAAACACGTCATAGCCAAGAGTCATCAATCATGCTCTCCAATTAGATTTTTGCAGGGCAGAAGCTTCAGTCATCTAATCAGCCTCTGAAGAAAATATGAATGGAATGTACTTTCGATTCCACACTGCTGCCTGCTCTTTGAAACTTCCCCCCTTCTTTCTGTTGTCAACTATAAAAGGTGTATACAAAATGTTTTATGAGTTGACAATCCCCTTTTGCGACCTTCTGTCAAGCAAAGTCAACCAGGAAGCCAGATTCACTTAACAACGTGTTACTAACTTAACAATTGCAGTGGTTCACTTAACAACTGTGGCAAGAAAGGTTGTAAAATGGGGCAAAGCTCACTTAGCAAATGTCTCACTTAACAGTACAAATTTGGGGCTCAATTGAAGTCATAAGTTGAGGACTATCTGTATTTATTTACTAATAAATATTCTTATTGGAGCTTCCGAGATATCCCCCTCACTCCCTCTTGATTCAAACACTAACAGCCAGCAAGACTGTCCCCAAGGTGCTTTTTCAAGAGGCAGCTGGCCTTCCTTTTTTTTTTCCTTGAAGATGTTTTGCTTCTCATCCAAGAAGCTTCTTACAGTTCTGACTGAATGGTGGAGAATGGAAGAACTGAAGAAGCTTCTTGATTGAGAAGTGAAAGATCTTCAAGGAAAAACAAATTCCAGTTGCCTTTGGAAAAGCACCTTTGAGTCAGCCATGATCCACTCTCAGTCTACGGATGACTGAGAATCTCCATACATAGCCAGCAAGAATGGGATTTTACAGGGACGGGGCAGGAGTAGGAATGTAAAGAATCATACAGAAGACATGTAAGAGTAAGGAATCCTTTGCCTTTAATGCTAGGTCTGAGAATTCAGGCGTAGCAACCTGTCCAGCAAAATTATCACATGAGGTTTCAAATCTGGCAACCTGTTTCCCAAAATAAAAGAACGCTATTTCTCCCAAATAGAGCAGAACCCTATGTGATATTAAGGGAAATATGTTGAACAATGATTTTTCTCTCCTTAATGAATTGGGTGGAGGGCAACGGGCATAAAACAGGAAAGGGGGAGAATGACAGATGGAGAATGTTATTACCTGAACCCCTTGTTATTTTATGTATTCGATTTATAAAAAAAATATTTATTTCATCCCCGTGAAATGCAATATTTGGAGTAAAGTGGTTGGGTCATGAAACCTTTGTCTGGAAATACTCAAATTTTGCCGAGAGAGAAGGCAGTATCTTTGTAATAACTGGTTCATATCAGAAGTTGCAAATTTAAAATTATTCAAGTTATGGATTACTGTATGTTGTTTCTCTGAATAAATGTATAGTGGAGTGTCAAGGAATTTTGAACTGGTGAAAACCTAGCCCTTCTGATCCTTCCTTCCTTCCTTTTCTTTATCTTTTCAGGCAGGAAAATTAATAAAATTTGGGTTGGGGCAGAGAAAAGACTTGCTTACCTCTTATAGATCCGTTGCTTTTTCTTTCTCAGTCACAATTCCTAAGCATGTACAGTACTTAAACTTTTGTACTTTTAATATTCCTCTAAATTATACAATTTACCAATGCCTTTTAACTATACACTCAAGAAACTATACACGCAAGTCCAAAATTTTCCAATTGATGTATCTCCCAGAACTATTGGAATAGCATGGCACGCCCTCAGCACATAGATCCTTCTTTCATGTACATAAAAATGTTGTTATCTTGATTCATCCTGGCATGAGATTTAAGAAGTTTCGGGACATTTCTAGAAGTTTCAAATGATAAAAATCAGACTGAAACTTGAGAACAAACAGCAAGTTGGACAGGGAAGGGAAAAGTTATTAAATAACTTTGTGATTCTTCTTCTTTCAACCTGTGCTTCCTCGTACCATAAATCTCTACCCCATGACTCTAGGTTTTGACATTGCAAGTGGAAACAAATACTTACCTGGAAAGTTAATTTTGGGTGTTCCTTGAACTGGGTAGGTTTAAAAAGTCAACTGCCCCCTTTGCTTATAACTGAAGGGGTTTTAAGATTCAGCTGCCTGTTTCTAAGCTGGGAGGGTGGACAAAATTGGGTGGGTGAAGCTTGTTCTTTGATTTAAGAGGATGATTAATTTAGAGTCTTTGGATCTTAGAATTAAATGGATTAGATCAAGAAACAGGTAGCCAGCTTTATAGATGTTTGCGGCAGAGAAAAAAACTTACCTGGTTCTCAGCTGGGGAAAAGATTAAGCTGCGCTCCTCTGAAGTTGTTTTGTACCATTGTATTGTACCAGTTGCTTGTATGGCCTTCTGCATTGTATTGTTTCCATACTGTTATCTGTTTTCCTCTTTCAACTACTAAAGGGTAGGTGCTTAATTTGATTATTGAATTAACTTTCTTTCTGGAGGTGCACAATGCATTAGACCCAGTTACTCAACCTGGGCAGATCACGGCTGATCCACTTCATGAAACCTTTAAAACATAACTCTGTTTGAATCAACAAAGGGATGAGGGTTCCTTTTATAGAGTTACACCATTTTATACCTGTGCAAACACCAGAGATTCATCTAATTCCACCTGGATGTTGTGTAAAAAGACATGGAAAACGTAGCTATGCTCTCAAGCTTTGGAGCTGAGTGATGGTTGAGCTCCTGTGAAGTGGGTTTTATTGTTCTTTAAAGTCTTTCTGGGTACTTATGATATGCTTCTTTTTAAATTTTCCTATGTTTTTGATCTAAATTGAAAGATGAGTGAATGAATAAATGAATGAATGATTAACCCAATATGCTGAACCATCAAAAAAATTAACCAAACTGAAAAATAAGCAAGCATAGTGTACTGTGCAAATAAAACTGTAGTGTTTTAACTGGCCTGGTTAGGGATGTTGTCTGAACTGTCTCTACGCTGTAATATTTTAAAGCAAAACAGTAATCTGGGAAAAATGACTTTCACACAATAGTTAGGAAATTTGATTTGGTTTGATTGGACCATGGGATGGACTGGTGGGTACAGGGGATAGATCTTTGATTTTCTTTTGGGAAGGGAAAACCCAGAACTCTCAGATTCGGCTTTTCCCAGATGTGCCAATATGACAACTGTAATAAAATGGAACTTTGAGAAAATGCTTGTCTCAGAGTTTATTGGTTTGGAGTTGGTTAGTTGGAACACTGACACAGGGTATATTCAACAGATATGTAGATTTGTGCTTTAGTCTGGCAAGATTCTTGCGTAGAGGTGAGCAACAATAAAGAAACCATTCTGACTAACTCCTCATGTTGTTCTCGGTTCCTTGCATCTACCCATTTTAAAATTACTGAGACTAGGAAACACTGGTCTAGCCGGATGTCTTCCAAATATATTTACAGAGGTTATATTCATTCAATTTGATGTGTCTATAAAACCATACATTGTAGAGTAGAACGCTGTGAGTTTAGAAATGGGCACCCTTTAGAATTCACAGAAATCAAATAGGTGACGAGGCCAATGTGCAAATGACATAGATGGTGTGGTTTGTCTCTTAGTGTCATGATATAAAGAGTTTCTCTTCCTGTCAATCAACTCTGTGCTCTGCCCATCTGAAAATGCCAGGCTAGTCAAAAGCAAGCAAGACGTTTAAGCTGTTTTTGTCCTATGAGAATGTTCTCCAGAAGTTAATTTTGAGTTGGACCCATGCTCTGAAAGAATTGAAATTTACTAATTAACGGAGGGTCCATTTGCCCAGACTTGGGACAGACTAAGAATGACACATTGGCCTAAATTAAGACTATCTAAATGGTCATCCAGGAGCTTTCAAAAGAATCTTGAACTGTGGTGGTAGATGAGAGCTCATTAACTTTCCTCTGCCACACCATCTATGTGGCTATAAAAAGTGGAAGAGATGAATAGCTTTGTACAGGAGTTGTTTTTTAACGTTTTACCTCCCGAATCTCTTTCTGCCGTTCCTCCGTTTAACTGAATAATTTGGGCACATTTCTCACAACACGTCATTAATTCACATTAATCCAGTCTTCCAGTTCTCACCATTGACTCTTTTTTGGAGCAGACAATGAGTTTCCCCTGCTTTCTTTTGTAGGGGGGAAATGCCCCCATTTCTGACCTCTTCACTCCCATTTCAAGGTCCTTCCCATTTTGATGAACCTCTAGGCGGGCTTTGAAGATACCTCATGTTCGCTGGAACTTGATTTGAAAATCCATGCTTTGATGGTTGTGTTGAAAAGTCCTGGTTGATTGTTTTTTTTCACAGAGGGGAGAGGGGTTGATGTTACCTCAGGAACCTTCCGCAGATCTTCCCATCACTTGAAAATATCTCTCTTTTTATGTCTATCCTCTTTGTTTGGTTAATTGCAATTTGTACCAAGCCGCATTCAGCAGGAACTACGGCACCTGACATGGTGCCCCCCCCCAACAAGACCAAAACAAAGACTACCTCTCAGGTCTAATATCTGCTTTGCTTCTCGATAACCCATTATGGCTCTCTGGGTTGGCTTCTACCTCCGTTACGGCTGCTCCTTTCTGCTATTCCATTTCCACCTTGGGCCTCTCGCTTCCAACTCCAGCAGGCTTCCTCACCGTCACTTTCCCTGGGCCGACTGATCTTATCTAACAGAACAAAGGCAAAAATAATGAGGTTTTGAGAGACCCCCTTCCAATTTGGCAGGTATGAAGCTTCTCTTGAACTGAGAAAAACCATCGAGTTGAAAGCAGCTGAAGGACAGGACACTCCCAGGCTGATTTTGCTGTGAACCATATACCCTGTATCTTGTCACTCCTTAATTAACGCATCAATTCTGGTTTTGGCTAACAATCACTTATCCACGTATTGTTATTTCATGCATGCGTTCAAACTGAAATTCACATTCCTCTCATTCTTGCATTTGAATTTGTGGGCCTTGTTATTATTATTTTCCCATTATTGGAAAACTCCAAATTACAATCTCATCTAATCTTTCCGCTTGAGGCATGAACTAAACTTAATCAATCTATAAATATTCGCATTATTCGTAGGTATGGTCTTCCTAGTTCCTTGCCCTTCCTTTTCCCTTCTTTTTTTTCTTTTCTTTCATCCTTGGTTTCTTTTGTGCTATGATTTTGAGCAAACCCCACCTTCCAAAAAGTATCAGTTCAAGGATGCTGATATTAAACCAACCAACTAACAAATGTTAAATGAAATAACAAAAAGGCCCCAAAATCACACAGCAAGATTATTGTCCTGAAGAGCCTTCTCCCTCTTAGACTGCTTTCAACTCTGGATTAATTCAAGGGTGACATCCAGCCATCCTTGGTTAATGTCTACAGTCAAATACTGTCCCACGCAATCAATGATCCTACGGTCAACATTTTTACTGATCTGTTCTAACAAATCTGCATGATTTGCTTCCGGCTTCAATTTGCAGCCTGTAAGGGCAATAACGGTTCCTTCCTCCACTCAGCTATCGAAATGCATGTGCATGGTGATTTTATCTGAGATGGAATCCTGTTTATTTATTTATTTTTAAATATTATTCAAAATCATAAAGCTTTATTAAAAGAAAAACAAAGCCACACATGCTTCGGTGCTGTTAACCGAAGCTCACATCTATACCAATGGCGTATCCTTGGCTGTGTTTCATGCAACACACTTAACTGTTGTTGAGTAGACCCACTTCCTGGGTTCACACAACAAATCAAACTCTACCCCCAATCAAAAGGATTTGGTGAATTCAACAAGCGAAGCCGTAAAAAGAAAAACTGACCATGGTTAAAACTGATCAAACTGACTTTCTTCTGTAGATGGTTCTTTAAGTGTGTTGTGCAAACCCAGTTGTCATATACATACACATATTTTTTTTCCCGTGTTTAAATATGGGCTGTGTTGCACTCATCGTTGTCTGCTTCCTTTTGAGTTTCTTTCTTTCTTAATTTTAGATGCTTCCCTACATGTTGAAGGTGGCTTTGTAACCATCCTGGCCTGACATGCTATCTCTTTTATGTTACAGAATCGCATGCATGAATCATTGAAGCTGTTTGATAGTATCTGTAACAATAAATGGTTCACAGATACCTCCATCATCCTGTTCCTCAATAAGAAGGACATCTTTGAAGAGAAGATTAAGAAATCCCCCTTAATTATCTGCTTTCCAGATTATACAGGTAAATAAAACACATCCTTTCAGTTAAAAAAAAAAAAGATAAATAAATATATACAGAAAGAGTGTTTTGTGACTCAAAATGTTTGCCCTTTGTTGAGGCAAACATTCCCAAACTATGGTCCACAAATAGACCAGATGTTGTATTAAAATTGTGTTTGAAAGGGCTAGGGAAACATTAAGAATATCTAAATATGGCCTTAGAGTTGATTAAATCACAATCAGATAATAAACTCAGAGATAGTTTTGAAGAGGTTCAGATTACAAAGAAGAACTTGGCAATAAGTCCAACGTGTGCGTAACATGGATGCTGTTGGTACCTAACACCTTTCTTTGAAAAAAAGCATTAGCTAAGGAGACGTTCTTTTCCTCATCCTAACCTAGACTCCATGCTTTGGTTGCAGAACAGGAAAATTTATTAAGCATTTTGCTATCATCACCAACAACAGTGGACTAAAGGAATTGCATCAGTTTCTTTCTTTATAGTTCTGTGCTCCTCTGAATTTTTATTCAGGAGAGCACAGAACTTTTTATTCAGAATGAGTTGAAGGCATAGTGGAGGAGCAGGAGGAAGAAGGAGAAAGATGGAGGAGGAGGATGAAGAAGGAGGAGAAAGGAGGAAGAGGAGAAGGTAGAGACAGAGGATCAGGAAGAGAAGGAGAAAGAAGGAGGAGAAGGAGGAGAAAGGGGAAGGATGGGGAGAATGAAGACGGTAGAGGAAGAGGAAGAAGAGGAGGAAGAAGAGGAAAAGGAAAAGGAAAAGGAAGAGGAAGAGGAAGAGGAAGAGGAAGAGGAAGAGGAAGAAGAAGAAGAAGAAGAAGAAGAAGAAGAAGAAGAAGAAGAAGAAGAAGAAGAAGAAGAAGAAGAAGAAGAAGAAGAAGAAGAAGAAGAAGAAGAAGAAGAAGAAGAAGAAGCTAAACCCCTAAAACTTTATTATTATTATTAACCTCCAATGATGGGAACATATTTCTAATAATATGGGCACATACCCACGCACTCCTGTATTAGCCCTGGGACACTTCACTCCTGGAGCTGAGTTTTGTAAATCAGAAGGGGATTCCCATCAAGCTCAGAGTTCAGAGAAGACCCACAAAAAATGATTAGGGGCCTCGAAACTAAAAAGATTGCAAGTATTGGGTATACCTAGTCTACTCAAGAGAAGGGCTAGAGGTGAGATAGCAGTCTTCCAATACTTGAAGGGCTGCTACAAGAAAAAGAGGGTCAACATTTTCCAAAGCACCTGTAGATAGGACAAAAAACAATGGATGGAACTAACACTCTCTCTCTCTCTCTCTCTCTTTCTCTTTCTCTTTCTCTCTCTCTCTCTCTCAGTAGTACTCAACTTACAAAACAAATTGTCAAGTGAGTTTTGCCCCATTTTACGACCTCTCTTGCTGCAGTTGTTGAGGGAATCACTGCAGTTGTGAAGCTAGTAACATAGTCGTTAAATGAATCTGGCTTCCCCTTTGACTTCTCAGAAGGTCGCAGAAGGGGATCACCTGATCCCAGGACTCTGTGGCCGTCATGAATATGAATTTTGATCCATGATCAGGGAATTCTACAACACTCATAAGCGTGAAAACTGGTCATAACTTATAAGTCACTTTCTTCCATGTCATTGTAACTTTGAATAGTCACCAAAAAAACTTGTTGTAAGTCGAGGACTACCTGTGTACAGCTTTAAGAATTCCAAGCAAACATGCTTTGAATTCTTTATCATTATAGGATCCAAAACTTTATGTTTGGGGAACATTTTGGATAACCATTTGTCTGAAGTGGTGTAAGGTTTCCTGCCTAGGCAGGGGGTTGGACTAGAAGACCTCCAAGGTCCCTTCCAACCAGTGGTGGGATTCAATTTTTTTTTACTACTGGTTCTGTGGGCATGGCTTGGTGGGCGTGGCAGGGGAAGGATACTGCAAAATCTCCAGTCAGAGGTGAGATTGGCCGGTTCTCCAAACTACTCAAAATTTCTGCTACCGGTTCTCCAGAACTGGTCAGAACCTGCTGAATACCACCTCTGATTCCAACTCTGCTATTCCATTCTTCTATTCTATTCTATTCTATTCTATTCTATTCTATTCTGTTCTGTTCTGTTCTGTTCTGTTCTATTTGATTCGATTTCTATCCTATCCTATTCCATTCTTCTATTCTATTCTGTTTCTATTTCTATTTCTATCCTATCCCATTCTTCTATCCTCTTCTATTCTATTCTATTCCTTATTCTATTCTATTCTATTCTATTCTATTCTATTCTATTCTATTCTATTCTATTCTATTTCTATTTCTATTTCTATTTCTATCCTATCCTATCCTATTCCATTCTTCAATTCTATTCCATTCTATTCTATTCTATTTCTATTTCTATCCTATCCTATCCTATCCTATTCCATTCTTCTATTTGATTTGATTTGATTTGATTTGATTTGATTCGATTTCTATCCTATCCTATCCTATCCTATCCTATCCTATTCTATTTCTATTTCTATTTCTATTCTTCTGTTCTGTTCTGTTCTGTTCTGTTCTGTTCTATTCTATTCGATTCGATTCGGTTCGATTTCTATTCTATTCTATTCTACTCTACTCTACTCTACTCTACTCTACTCTACTCTACTCTTTTGAGGAAATTCAAACCTTGCTTCTCCAAAACCTTTCATTCTTCCTCTGGATTGGTTGGCCCACCTGTCAATGGGAGCCAACATTGACAGTCTCTTCTTGGGGAGTGGGGGGGAGAAACATACTTTCTCTTGGCTGTTCTTTCTCTCCTTTGCAGGACCCAGCAACTTCCCGGATGCGGTGACTTACATCCAGACGCAGTACGAGAGCAAGAATAAGTCATCCAACAAAGAGATATACACTCACATCACCTGTGCCACGGACACCAACAACATCCAGTTTGTCTTTGATGCTGTAACTGATGTCATAATTGCCAATAATTTGCGTGGATGTGGACTATATTAAAAGCCCCTTTCTCCTTCCTCCTCCCCCCGCCCCCCATTCTGTAGAAGAATCTCAATTTGTTGCGTTGTTTGATTCGGTCTCCTTACTCTCGTATGTATCCCTAAGACGCATTAGTTTGTTTCAGATGTAAGGGAACATCAGTTCTTTATTCCACTTTGGTGTTTTATGGTGGGGAAAAGGGAAATTTGCTGTCTGTGCCTCCATTAACAGGGTGTTGTTGTTTTTTTCCACCGCATACACATGAAGGGATAAAGAGTGAATAATCGGCTCTGGAAAAACGCTGAAGGAAATTTCATAAAAATTGCCCAAATCTTGTTCAAACTTTCAACTCTCGTTTCCATTTTCCCACCTCTGTTCCTCTGCCTTTAAATGCTCTGATTTCTTTTTTCTCAAAAAGCTTAAGACCATATAAAATAGATATATTATTAATACTTTAGCTTTTTCCCTCATTGTTTCTCCCTTTCTCTCCTCCTCTCCACTCTTTTTCCCTTCCACCCAACCCGGACTTTTTTGCCTTCAAATTTTACTGTTTTTCCATTCTGAAATACATCTGAAACATCAGAAAGATGAATTTCCAGAGCAAGAATTCCACGTATTCATTTTGCCCTTGGGGCAAACATACACAGTTCACACATTCCAGGAATAGACTATCAGTGGCCAGTTCTTAAATCTGATAAAAGAGCAGCCTGCGCAGTTTCAACTCCCAGGATCACCGTTTTCCTCATCTTTTTGAAAACATCCAGGGATGGAACTCCCACAACTTATAGCCACCCATCTTATAGCACACAACTCTGGGTAGCTAACCATGAATGAAGGGTTCACAAAGAACATGGTGTGTTAAGCAAAGGTTTCATTTTTCATGGAATGAAATAGGAAGGACATTAAGGGACCGTCTATTTGGATGGCCACATCAAAGGTCCCATCACAGGAGCCGTTTAAATTCGAAGCCAGCTTTGCGTATGTTCTTCCTTTAGAAAGGGAAGGAGCAAGGCCAATCAAACAGGAAGTAGAGTAGAGAAAAGGAAGTAAGGAGAGCCAGTTTGGTCTTGGGGTGAAGGCACCAGGCTAGAAAGCAGGAGATTGTGAGCCTTAGCCATGAAAGCCAATTGGGTGACTTTGGACCGATTGCTAGGAGACGGTGATTCTAGTCCCACCTTAGACATCAAAGTTGATTGGGTTACATTGGACCAGTCTCCCTCAGCCCAACACACCTTCACAGGGTGGTTGTGCTGGGCAAAGAAGAAGGAGGAAGTTGTGTGGGATATGTTTGTCGCTTTGCATTAAAATAATATAGGCAGAATGCAAACAAATTAAATAAATAGAATGGTTCATCACCATATCCAGCAGAATTATGGTCCAAGGCAGTGTTCCTGGCTCATAGGCAGATTTATCAGATATCATGATGGTCAGAGTGAAGAAGAGACAATGGAGGTTGGAATCTGCTTTGAGATGACAAGAGTGTCAAAAAGTGCCATGAGAACGGGGCAGAGGGCAATCGGCCACAGGAAATGTGGGAGTAAATAGATGAAAGAAAAAGCAAGCAAGACAGATAATGAAGCTAAGAGTTATGCAGAAGACTCCTCAGTTTGAACGAAGGCAGATAGAAAGTCCAAGGAAGTTGATTTTGGAATGGGAAAAGTAGCAAAAGACATATTTCAAAGGCCAGGAGGAGGTTGTGGGTGCTTTAAACACTGGAGGTGTTTAAAGAAGAGACTGGACAACCATTTGTCTGAACTGGTCTAGGGTTTTCTGCCTGAGCAGAAGGTTGGACTAGAAGGCTCCAAGGTCCCTTCCAATTCTGCTATTCTGTTAATCTATTAGGTGGTTACGACTTTTGGGCCAGTTAGTAAGACTTTCTTGAAACCATAGAAGAATGCTAGATGTGTGTGCATCTATGGAAGGCAAGTGGATTAACTGAATCAGAAATATCAGGTAGAAAAACAAAGATCTTCTTATCGGATGCTTCCTATATTTATTGGGCTCCATTTCCCCATAATCCACCCTCCTGATGGTTAGCTGTGCTAACTGGGGATTATGGGAGAGATGTTCAAGCGATACATTGAAGGCATCAGATGGCCATTGCAGATTAGAGACACAAGATAATACAAAGTTGTTTCAGCTAATGGAATTTAGGGGAATGGATGAGAGCAGAAATGATGAAGGGATAAGTTAAAAGATATGAGCCTGCCCTTAGGAATCTGTTGTGCATCTTCTGCAAAGTTTGGAACTAGTTTGTTAATTATTAGACTAGAAGTGTTATTTTTTTTAAAAAAAAAAAGAGCGACTAATAATTGAGTCTTCAACAAAGTGCCATTAAAAGTGTTACAGGTAATCCTTGACTTACAACCACAAGTGAGCTCAAAATTACTCTTGCTAAGCAAGATGGTTACGTGAATTTTGCCCCATTTTAAGACCTTTTTTGACACAGTTGTTAAATGAAACACTGTTGTTAAGCTAGTAATACGGCTGTTAAGTGAAGCTGGCCTTCCCATTGACTTCGCTTGTCAAGAGGGTCACAAAATGGGATGACATGAGCTTGGGACACATCAACGGTCATAAATATGAATCAGTTGCCAGGCATCCGAAATTTGATCCTATGATCATGGGGATGCTGCAGGTCATAACTGTGAAAAACGGTCATAAGTCCCCTTTTTCAGTGTCATTGTAACCTCAAGCGGTCACTACATGGATTGTTGTAACTTGAGGACTGCCTGTACTCAAATGAACCACGTGGACTTTCTTTTGGAAGCTTTTGGGAGTAAAATGCAGGTTGGAAATGATGACCAGGAAGAAAGAATAAAAAGAAAGAAGGGTGTTCAGAAAGAAAAAATAAATAAGACAAGATGGGGACCTAAGTAGAGGAAAGAAGAAGGAACCACATTAAAAAAATGGCAAAAATAGAGTTGAGCTAGAGGAGAGTTGAATTTAAATGCGGTATTGTTGGAAACCTAAGTCTGAAACTAAGTCTAAAATTCACAATTGGATTATCAACTTCTACTTTTATTCAATTTATTCAACTCAAGGGTTGAGCCAGGAATTTGATAGCTGGTTGTTCTGGCATCGGGTGAGAAGGGGCGTTCTGTTTTTATTCTGTTTTTATGAACCACTATGGGAGATAGGCAGCCATATACATCCTTTAAATACATAAATAAATAGAAGTATAATAAAAACTTGGTTGGGAACTTAAAATTACTGCAATTGTAGATGCTTGATAGAAGAACGCGAACAATGGACTCTGTGTTATTGGAAAATGTATCTAGGTATCAGAGGCTTAACTATTGAAGAGTAATGCTGAATGTATGGGTTTCATTTTTGCTTTTTATCTTTGTTGCCTAATTTAAACCAAAACATACCATGGACTAAGTGTTAGTGTAAGCCGACTGTCATATTTTCACAGGTGGAAGCTGAATAGAGAGCATTGCCTAACTAGTGGTGCAGGCAGGTAATATTTTGAGAGTGTTCCTATCAAATATTTTCAGAGCGGTGTTTGTGCTTTGAAGCAAATTCACATCGTATTTTTCCCTGAATAAGGCCTAAATTAAAAGGTTTGGCATTTGATTGTATCTCTAGGGCAGAGTTTTCAACCTCAGACACTTTTAAGGTGCGTGGACTCCCAAAATTCCCCAGCCAACATGAAGTCCATATGTCTTAAAATAGCTGAGATTACACTTATCTTGCTCTGAAGGATAGCTGGTCTTGTGGTTTTCCTGGAACATCTTTGCAATAATTTTAGGTTTTTGTTTTTTTTAAAAAAAAAAAATATTTCTCATAAAATGTGAGAAACACGGATTTGGTACCTTCCAAATGTATGAAATGATGTGATGGTTGACCGTTCTGCTTGGGAATTTGGGAAGGTTCAATCTTGGCATTTGGGGAGGGCACCTAACCTGTCTGCATAATTCTTGCAGAAATGTCTAACCATCGCTAAGAAAATGCACTAGATTGCTACAACACAGGCTCTTTCCGTCCTTAGATATTTGCACATACTCAGTTTCAAGTTAATCACTTTGAGGAACTAAAAAGTAGTAAAATTCTACTTATCTTGCCCAGGCACATTGGCTGAGAATCCTAAATCAATGCAGATGCCTTGGTGGAAATCCCAAATTCAAGACTTGCATATAAATTTTAGCAGTGTTTCCCAATCTTAAAGCATTTCTTTATCTCTGGCTTTTCAAATCTTAATATAGCCTCCTGTAGCAGGGCATGTTGTAGAACAGGTGGAATTCCCCATGACCCTGGAGGGAGCTACATTATTGTCTTAATCTCAAAGCAACTCAACTGAACATGATCTCTTTTGCCACAAAAAGAGAGAGGGTAATTAACCTGCAAATAGAGACATGCTCCTGCTAAACCTAGCAATATTCTTAGTTCATCCTTGCATAATTGTCCTCTGCAGGGATGAGTAGCCACAACAAACATGACACACTGTGTTATTTCTTTTCCTTTAACTTTTGCAAGCGAGCAAGATAGTCCTACTCTATTTATCAGTCAATCAGTACTGGGTGACAAAGGGCTTCTTCCAAGGAGTCAGACTCACAAAGAAATAGTTGGCTTCTTCAGCACGAGTGCCTTCTGCAAATGTGAATTAAGCCATGATTATTCATATGAGAAGCGTGTATATTGCATGCATTAAGTCTGCTATAATTCTGCTTTCCAGTAATGCAGTGAGAAGAAAGGTCAATGTCGCAATGTATAAACCACACAACCTGAAGAGGTTGCTGACTGATGGATGATTAGTTGTGTGCTTGTTAAGTTGGTTTTGATTTTTGGCAACCACATAGTTAGATTTTTGTTTTTCTGTCCCCAGTCTGGTGTGTCCAAACTTCCAATGATGCATCTACGTTATGGCTATTGTTTCATTTTGTATAGCATACCCAATTATCTGTGTGGCTGGCCTGCCTAATTGATATTCTATTTGCTACAGGTGGAAAAGGGCAAGATGCAGAAATGTTCTCCTCATTTCTGAAAAATCTTATTATACTCATGGTTACCTAAGTCAC